TCAGCTTTGATCTTTTTCTTAAATGTACACATTGACTTGGCATTTTTTACATCACTCTCTAGACCATTCCACAATCCAACTCCTTGGATTGAGGTAGACCTTCCCTTCAGACTAGTTCTGAATTTTGGTTTGACAAATATCTCTATCCCCTTAAGATTATAACAACTTTGTCTTTTAACAAAATTTCTTTGGATATTTAATGGTAATTTGTTATTTTGAATCTTATACATAACTGATAAAATACTATCTACCAAATCATGGAACTTTAATAACTTCAGTTGATACAATAATGTGCTTGATGGGTGACTGTAATGCTTGATGATTCTTACTCTATTCTGTAAAATAAAAATAGGCTTTGTAAATGTTTTACACGCTTTCCCCCAAACATCAATGCAATAGATTAAATGTGGAACAATGATTGTGTTATACAACATGTACAGAGCTTTGTCATTTAATAATTCCCTGACTTTGTATAGTACTGCAATAGATTTAGCTATTTTTGTTCTTACAGAATTTATGTGATTTTTCCATTTTGGTTGTTCATCAGTGATTACACCCAAACATTTCATCTCATTAACTCTACAAATCTCAACACCCTCAATTTTAAATGGATCATCAACAGTTCTCTTTTTGTTACTAAATATCATGTATTTAGTTTTATCTAAATTTTATGATAATTTATTAAGTTTAAACCAAGTTTGTATTGAATACATCAAATTAAATCAAATAAATAAATAAGATAAAACCCTTAAATCCTTTATGAAGCATTTCACAGTGTTAAAATGAAGATGTTAAGAAGACAACTAAAATCAAGAAATTTGTAATGTTGTATATTTTTTTTACTTTAATGCTATTTCCAATAGGTTTATCTTAGTAAATGTAATGTTAGAATATTGTTTTGAATGTTAACTACACTCGTTTTAAATAACACAAAAAGAAGAAACAAGCTAAACAAACAAAAAAAACCATAAAAAAACCCTGTTTTTGTTTGTGCACCAAAAATATTTTAACCATCAACGCATCTTTGATATGTTGGTTGTTAGCCAGATCTATCGCTATTTATTTGAATTTAGCTTCTGTGTTTGTTCAGGGTGACTGGGACATTTACAGCTTTCACATCAACTCCACTGTCACTGGCCGATATGCCACCACCATCATCACAAGCCGTGTGGCCAACCGTATGGAGGAGTCCAAAGAAATTGAATTCCATGTTCAGATTCCCAAGAATGCCTTCATCAGTAAATTCAGAATGTATGGGAAGGAAAAAAATGAAAAATAAAATTTCAATATTTTAGTAATGATGAATAAAATTTCAATATTTTAGTAACAGTTGTGTATAAAATAGTACTAACAAAAAAATTCAAACTCAATATTGTGTTGGTTGTCTGCAGGTTTATAGATGGTCAGGTTTATGATGGAGTTGTAAAATCGAAGGAGCAGGCTCAGCAGCAATACACGGAGGCTGTGTCTCGTGGTGAAAGTGCAGGCATTGTCAGGTATTAATTTTGATGGAATTTATTAAGATGATTTTAGATGTTTCAAAATCTGCTCTCTCTGTCAATTTATTGTCAAGTTTCAAATTTCTAGGTCTTTCAATGATTTAGCAAAATTGCCCACTTTTCTTTATCAAGAGAGATAAAAACATATTTATCAACATTTCAGGGAAAAACACATAACATGAAAAATAAAATGTGTTGTCTCTCACTGAGAAGGTTGCTGGAGTGAATCCTGGCTGTGGACCCTTCTAGATGGAATGTGTACACAATAAGGGTAATGACAGTGTGACCTAGAGGCACATGATTGGGAGGAATGGCCTCTCTGATCTGAACCTGAGCAGTGTTCTGTTGTTGTATTTCTGCGTTAGTCATGGTTTGTCCATCATAAATACCATGTCCGAACATAAGGGTGTCCATAAGTGCACTTTGCATCAGGATGCCCTAGGTCATAGAGCAATGATTGACTTTGTTGTTTTGTCATCTGATTTGCTGCCATTTGTGTGACAAGAGGAGCTGAGGTGTTAACTGATCAGCACCTGGTAGTGAGTTGGATCAGATGGTGAGGAAGATGCCGGACAGACCCTGTGGACCCATTCCTTTAGTGAGGGTTTGCTGGGAATGCCTGGCAGAAGAACCCATCAGAAAGATATTCAACTCACACCTCTGGGACAGCTTTAACCGCATCCCAGCTGAGGTGGGTGCCACTGAGTCCAAGTGGACCATGTTCCGTGCCTCAATTGTTGAGGTGGTTGCCTTGAGCTTTGGCCGCAACGTGGTTGGTGCTGCTTGCGGTGGCCACCCTCAAACTCGGTAGTGACATCATGGGTTAGGGAGGCTGTCAAGCTGAAGATGGAAATGTCAGAGGCAGCTAAGCAGTACCAGAGGCCCAAGAAGGCTGCAACCTTTGCTGTTGTGGAGGCAAAAGCTGGTATATGGAAGGAGTTTGATGAGGCCTTGTACAGAAACTCTCGATCAGCTCCGAGAAGATTCTGGTAAACCACCAGGTGACAGAGGATGGGAAAGCAACACTTTAATAACACTGTATTCAGTGAAGATGGGGTGCTGTTGACCTTAACCACTGAAGTTGTCAGGAGACAGAAGGAATTCTTCTCTGAACTTATCAATCCCAGTGGCACATCTTCCACGGAGGAAGCTGTGTCAGGGTACTTCAGGGTTGATCTGTCAAAAACCATGGCTGAGGTAGCGGAGGTAGTTAAAAACTCCATGGCAGCAGGGATCTGGGGGTGGATGAGATCTGCCCTGATTTATTTAAGGCTCTGGATGTTGTGGGGCTGTTGTGGCTGACAACTTTGCAACATCTCATGGACATTGGGGGCAGTGCCACTGGATTGGCAAACTTGGGTGGAGGTTTCCCTGATCATAAAGGGAAGACGTAGGGTGTATTCCAATTATTGTGGCATGTGTGAGATATGAGAATCAGCACCTCCAAATCTGAGGTCATGGTTCTCAGTCAGAAAAGGGTGGATTACTCTGGATCGAGGGTGAGGTTCTGCCTCAAGAGAAGAAGTTCAAGTATCTTGGGGTTTTGTTCATTAGTGAGGGAAAGCTGTAACAGTTGGACTGGTACAGTATCTGCTGTATTGCAGACTCGGTGCTGGTCTGTTTTGGTTAAGAGGGAGCTTTGCTGTAAGGCAAGGCTCTTTACCAGTCGGTCTACATTCTTACCCTCATCAATGGCCATGAACTCTGGGTAATGAACAAAAGAAGGAGACTGCGGATACCCATGGCTGAAATGAGTTTCCTCTGCAGAGTAGCTGGACTCTCCCTTAGAGATACTGTAAGAAGTTCAGTTATCCAGGAGAGACTTTGAGTAGAACTCCTGCTCCTCCATATCAAGAGAAGCTACTTGAAGTGGTTCAGGCATCTGATAAGGATGCTCCATGGGTGTCTCCCTAGTGAGGTGCTTCAGGCATGTTCAACTGGGAGGAGACCTCGAAGAAGACCTAGGACACACTGGAGAGACTATATCTCTCAGATGGCCTGAGAACACTTTGGAGTCCTCCCAGAAGAGCTGGAAGAGGTGGCTGTGGAAAGAGATGTCTGGGACTGCCTGTTCAAGTTGCTGCCCGCACGACCCAACTTTGGAACAAGCGGAAGATAATGGATGGATGGAAAGATGGGAAAAAAACTATAAGCTGAATGTAAACTCAGTCTTAAAAACAACACCTTTGCAAAGTAGACTATGCAAAGGTGCAGTTATAAAACTGAGTATGCTTGCAGCGCCTCAGACTGAAGGTCTTTTGGATGAAAAACAAAACATGTGTCATGTTGGGTTTAACTAATCAATTAACCCACATGCAAGAACACCACACAGGAGAGAGATGAACTATAATAAATGTTTATTTTTACGATAAATAAGCGGAATCAGATGAAGGTCTGGTCCGTGAGCGGGGCTGTTGAATGCTAAGCACACTGGAGAAAACAACAAGGGAGATGATGAGTTTGAGGTTGTAGGAAAATTTGATTTCTGGACAGAGAGAAATGAGAGCTTACTTGTTCGGTGATCAATCCTGGGACTGGAGGGGGGTTGGTGTTGGTCCGGGGTCTTTTAGTTCCAGTTAGGTCCTTGAGAGGTTTGTAGAGTTCCTTTTGAATGTCGGAGGGAGCTCGAAGGAGAAGACGGCGTTGGAGGGCAGACTGGTAGGCAGAGGCTTGAAGGCATCAGAGGAGTAGACGGACTGCCAGTCGGTCTTTGGTGCTGGAGATCGATGTCGGCTGTGTCATGTTAGTGTGGGAGCTCGGGCATCCACGGGGAAACAACCCACGGCGTCACGAGGAAACAAAGAGAACGAGAACCAGGTCAGGATCCTCAAAACAAAAAAAGAATCCACAGGAAACAGATTACTCTCAGATCACAGGGAGATAAATACAGAAAAAAAAACTGAGGAGACTTGGAGGGACTGTGAGATACCATCACTGGTAACACTCTGGCGTCGAGGTACTGGCAGTCCTTCTCTCTTAACCTGCCGGTAACGAGTTGATTGTCCACCGGTGTGCCGATGACGTCAGGTAAGACGCTCCTCTGCCAGCCAACTCCAGGACTCCATTTAGTGGGAAAAAGAATTCCTAACAACCCCAGGACCTAACAACATGTCTATGAACAAGAATTTGTCTAGAGGACCTGGACTCAACCTTGGTAGATTTATCTACCTGGATTATTGAGCATTCATCAGGAGTTTTTGTCGTGAGTTTTTTTTAATTTTTAGTTGATATTTTGTCCCTCTGAAATATCCATATACAAATGAGGGCATACTTAAAAAAAAAAAAGGTAAATAATCCGTTTTATTTGTTTCCTCCACTGTATGTCATCGTGGCACGCATCCTATCATTTACAGTGATAACTGTTTTTCTTGCAGCTCTGTAGGGAGGACCATGGAGGAATTTAAAACTTCTGTAACTGTGGCGGCTCATGAAAAGGTCACCTTTGAGCTCACTTATGAGGAACTACTGAAACGCACACTTGGAAAATACGAGCTGCTGATCCATGCTCGACCCATGCAGCCTGTCAAAGACTTCAAAGTTTGTTGTTCATCCAAAAAGACAATATTTGTGACAGGAGTTTTTGCTCTGAAAACTGCTAACATTTATTAAATTTTACTCACTGACAGGTTGATGTGTATGTTTATGAAAATGCTGGGATAAGTTTCATTGATGTGAAAGGAGGACTGAGCACTAAAGCCCTGGCTAATGCCATCACCAAAACACATGCAGCCAACAAGGTACAGCTTGAAATGCAGCTATGTTTCTGTTTTATGTTCACCTTCACTTTTCCATTAAAAGGTAAAGGCATTCAAAGCTATACATAATCATCTGTATTTTTATTTTTTGTATAATTAAGAGCCATTAGGCATCACGTTAACCAGTGTTTAAAACTTAAAAATATATTTTAAGTTATCCATTTTGGGGAGTGGTGGTGCAGAGTTTAGAGAAGGTGAGCCTGCAGTCTGAAGATCACCGCTTTTACCCCAAATGTGAATTGTGAGTGGAAAAGGTGAAGCTCCCACACCCATTTCCAAACTCATTTGCCACACTTTGGGCCTTGGAGCAAGGCCCTTAACACCCACCATCTGCTCCCCTGGGTGCCCTACATGGCAGCTCTCTGCTCCACACAGAGGGCTGTGGTAGTGTCAGGAAGGGCATCGCCATAAAAAACAATTCAAGTCTTCATGCAAGTTGAGGGGAAGTTGGGGGGGAGTGGTGGAGCAGAGGTTAGAGAGGTGGGCTTGTGATCCGAAGATCGCCGGTTCACGCCCCGGCCCCGACAACATCAAAATTGTGGGTGGGGTAGGTGAAACACCCACACTTGCCCCCACCCTCATTCGCCCCACTCTGGGCCCATGAGCAAGGCCCTTAACCCCACCATGTGCTCCCTAAACAGGTCTCTCTTGAAAATGAGTTCTCGTGGCTCAATGAGACTAACCTGGATAAAAAAAGGGAAAAAGGAAAAAAAAAAAAAAAAAAAAAAGTTAGTTCGCTGTGGCGACCCATGATGAAGAAAGCAGCCGAAATACAACAAAGAATACAATTCCAATTTTTTTAAATCATTTTAATTGGTAAGTTGGATTTTATCCTGGTGATTATAGTGGAGCGATGTTTGATAAAAAATTATGAGTTTTTTATTTTTTCAAAATTCTAACATTTTGTTAAAAATCACCATGTTTCAAGGGTGTATAAAATCTGATTTGTGTGGTTTGCAGGCCTGGGTGTATTTCTATCCAACTGTTGACCAGCAGAAAATTTGTGACAGTTGTGGAGAACAAGGTATGAATGGAGATCTGGTTATTGTTTACGATGTTAACAGAGATGCTGCACTGGGAGACATCAAGGTAAAACATTAGCTTTTTACATCTGATCATATATTTTCTACTTCTCCTCAAAACATTTTTTGTTTTAACTTTTTATTTTCTTAGACATCAGATGGGTATTTTGTTCATCACTTTGCTCCATCAAATCTTCCTCGAATACCAAAAAACATTGTTTTTATTATTGATCGAAGTAGCTCAATGGAAGGCAGAAAAATGAAACAGGTGATACTTTCCAGTTTTTATTGGTATAATATTTGTTATCCAGTACATATAAGATCACACTTAAAACAAACACAGTGTAATTGTTTATTTCCTCAGTAATTGTTTTATACCTTTTAAACAGACTCGAATTGCTTTGATTCATATTTTGAATGACCTGGCTGAAGACGACTTCTTTAGTGTTTTAACTTTTGATAGCCAAATTTCCCACTGGAAACGCAAACTTGTTCAGGCCACCAGTGTCAATTTGGAAGGGGCTAAGGAATTTGCAAAGACTATAAGGAGCAGAAGAAGTAAGCTTATTTTAAGAAGTTGCAATGTGAATACTTGGCAACAGGATGGCAGTAAAATATCATTTTTTTTTTCAGCTACAAACATTAATGCAGCAGTGCTAGATGGAGCACGCATGCTGAATGAACACCTCCGAGAAGGATCAGCATCTATCCTGATCCTTCTCACAGATGGAGACCCAACTGCAGGTAAATTAAAACACACGTGAAGACAATGGAAGCCTCAGAAAATATTCACACCCAAAACAATTACAAAGTATAATTACATTTAAAAAAAGTGTGTTCCTTAAAAAAATAAAGCTTTAAATAAGGCTCTTAAAATGAAACATTTTTTAGTCAATGTCAATGTATATTTTAAACAATCCAAAAAGGACATGCTATAAGACATGTCTTTCTTGTCTTTGCAGGGGTCACAAATTTTGAGGTCATACAGTCAAATGTAAGACGGGCCATTGCAGGAAAGTTCCCACTCTATTGTCTTGGTTTTGGGTTTGATGTCAAGTTTGAGTTCCTTGAGAAAATGTCACTGGAGAACAATGGTGTGGCGAGACGGATTTATGAAGACTCTGATGCTGATTTACAGCTGACGGTATCTTCCTACACATCATTCTTGCTTTTTTACTAATAGTTTTGGTGCATTCCCCCCCACAAAAACCTATTTGAGCATGAATAGATTTAAACAATCCATAATGCATCATCATTGTATGTTAACAGGGTTTCTATGAAGAAGTGGCCACTCCTCTATTGACAGATGTGACAATGATCTACATGGGAGGAACCAACCTGACCCAAACTAATTTCAGTCAGTATTATAATGGCTCTGAGATTGTGGTGGCCGGTGAGATCATTGACAATGACATTGAAACCTTCAGTCCTCAAGTTGTGGCCATTTCAGTAAGAATCGTTCCTGAAACCACAAAATCATTTTTAGAACATTAGTGTATACTGACATTACATTGTTCTTTGCATTATAACAGAATAGTAGAAAAATGAAATTTTCTGACAGCAGCACCCCTGTGGAGCCCTCTGCTGAAACAGTGACTGAAGGTCTCCTTCAGCGGGTTTGGGCCTACCTCACAGTTAAGCAGCTTCTGGATAAAGAGTAAGTGTGATATGAACCAACCCTCACTGGCCATTTTATTTATTTTATTTAACCTTTATTTAACCAGGCAAATCCCATTGAGATCACAGATCTCTTTTGCTTTTGTTAGGTTTACTTTGCCAATACAATACAAGGCTGGACTCCCTCTGTATCCACACTTACATATTTTAGATTCCAAAAAGTAAATTAAACATTTTTTTGATATTTTGGCCCATTTTGACAAGTTAACGTCACACATTTGTAGCAGATTTGTTAGCTGTGCCTCCATGATGCAACTCTTCAGTTCCACCACATCCCAAAGGTGTTTGATTTTATTGAGATCTAATAACTGTGGAGACTGTTGGAGTCCATTGAATTCAAAGCCATCAGACTAGACAAAACTGGTTCTAATCTCTTATTTTTCAAATTTTGTCAACCTGTGTAAAATACAACCTTAGCTGACAAAAGTGGCTCCAACTGGCTCCTCTCGATGTGGAGGAACAGCGGTTATACTCTGAGTCTCTCTCAGATAACTGAACTTCTCACCCTTTCTCCAAGGGAGAGTCCAGATACCCTGTGGAGGAAACTCATTTCAATTGCCTGTATCCGCAATCTCATTCTTTCGGTCACTACCCAGAGTTTGTGACCATAGGTGAGGGTAGGAATACCAACTGGTAAACTTCTCCTTACAGTTCAGCTCCCTCTTCACCACAATAGACCAGTACAGAATATGCAATACTACAGACACTGCACCTATCCATCGGTCAATCACACTCTCCATTTTTCCCTGAAGATACTTGAACTCCTCCACTTGAGGCAGAACCTGACCCTTGACCCAAAGAAAGCAATCCACTCTTTTCCATCTGATGACCATGGCCTCAGATTTGGAAGTACCGATTCTCATCCCAGCCGCTACGCACTCGGCTGTGATCTGCTCCAGTGAGAGCTGGAGATCACAGCACAATGATGCCAACAGGATCAGATAATCTGCAAATAGCAGAGATGGAATCCTGAAGCCCCCGAACTGGAATACCTCTACCCCCTGGCGGCACAGAGAAATTCTGACCATGAAAGTTATCAACAGAATTGGTGACAATGGGCAGCCCTGACAGAGTCCAACTCCTACCCTGAAGGGGTCTGACTTGTAACTGGCAATGGGAACCAAACTCTTGCATCGACTGTACAGAGATGGAATAGTCCATAGCAATGGGCCCCCAATCCCATACTCACAGAGCACTGCCAACAGTGTACCTCGAGAAACACGGTCGAAAGTCTTCTCCAAGTCCACAAAACACATGTAGACTGAATGGGTAACCTTCCACGACCCCTCGAGGACCCTAATAAGGGTAAAAAGCTGGTCTAGTGTTCCACAGGTAGGATGAAACCCATATTGTTCCTCCTGGATCTGAGGATTGGCCAACAATATGGATCACTTCTCCAGTACCCCTGAATAGACCTTACCAGAGAGGCTGAGGAGAGTGATGCCCCTATAATTGCAGCACATCCTCTGCTCCCCCTTTTTGAAGAGGGGAACCATCACCCCAGTCTGCCAATCCAGTGGCACTGCCCCTGATGTCCACTCAGTGTTGCAAAAGAGTGTCAACCAAGACAGTCCCACAATGCCTAGAGCCTTAAGGAAATCAGGGCAAATCTCATCCACTCTTGAAGCACTGCTGCCACGGTGCTATTTAACTACCTCGGCGACCTCAGCCACAGTTATGGATGGACCAAACCCCGAAATCCCCCAACTCAACTTCCTCCATGGAAGATATTCTGGTGGGATTGAGAAGGTCAGAGAAGTATTCTTTTCCAACAACATAACTTGTTGAGGTCAACAGTACCCCACCTTCACTGAATACAGTGTTAGTAAAGAGATGCTTTCCCTCCTCAGCTGCCTTATGATTTGCCAGAATCGCCTTGGAGCCAATCGGGAGTCTTTATCCAAGACCTCACCAAACTCCTCCCACAACTGAGCTTTTGCATCAGCAAAAGCCAATCTGGGGACCTCTTGGCACTCCGTTACTTCTCAGATGCCTCTGGAGTCCCACCAGCCAGCAAGGACCAATAGGACTCCTTCAGCTTGACAGCCGCCTTAACCTAGGGTGTTCACTACCGAGTTCAAGGGTGGCCACCGCGAGAAGCACCAACAACATTGCAGCCACAGCTCAAGGCAGCCACTTCAACAACTGAGGCACAGAACATGGCCTACTCTGAATCATTGACCCTCACTATATCTGGGATGTGGTTAAAGCTCTCAGAGGTGTGAGTTGATGATCTTTCTGACAAGTTCTTCTGCCAAACAATCCCAGCAAACCCTCACTGCACATTTGTGTCTACTAGGTCTGTACAGCATCTTCTCCCGTCATCTGATCCAACTCCTTACCAGGCGTCCTGATGCATGCTCAATAATCCAGGTAGAAAAATCTAAAAAATTTAAATCTGGTCCTCTGGACATCCAAAAAATTAAAAAATAAAAAAATTTGTAGAAACGTTTCGTCTTTCATCCGAAAGACTTCCTCAGTCTGAGGTGCTGTATTCAGTTCAGTCTTATAAATGGCACCTTATCATAGTGGATCAACCAATTTGCTAATGACTGCCAAACCAGGTGCTCACATAATCAAGGAGGACCATCAGCCTACCGATGGATCATTAGCACACTGATGACTGTTTGCTATTCACAGGGGACTGAGTGATACTAGCAATAACAGCATTGTAAGAGGGGGACAGTTGAACACAGAGGCACCCACCCCTGTTTAATGATGAATGGTTTCTTTTTACAAAGATGGTCTCCTTTACTCCTCTCTTAAAACACTGTTCCTCTCTATCAAGGATGTGAACATCTTCATCCCTGAAAGAGTGACCGCTGGCCTGGAGATGAGTGTAGACCACAGAGTCCTGGCCTGATGATGTTGCTCTTCTGTGCTGGGCCATCCTTTTGGCCAGTGACTGTTTAGTTTCCCCGATGTAAGACTGATCACAGCCCTCCTGACACTGAACAGCATACACAATATTACTCTGTTTGTGCTGGGGGACTGGATCTTTGGGATGAACCAATCTTTGCCATAATGTGTTTTGGGGTTTAAAAGCCACTGGGACATTATGTTTAGAAAATAAACGTCTCAGTTTCTCTGATACTCCCTCAACATACGGAATGACTACCGGTCTGGGTTCCTCTTTTTCACCTGATGGCTGGCTGGAGTCCTGTTTGGGTTTCTTCTCTGCTTTCAGGAAGGCCCATTTAGGATATCCACATTGCTCTAGAGCCTGTCTTGTGTGGGATTTCTCCTTCTGCCTGGCTCCTGAGTTAGTGGGGACGCTGTCTGCTTTGTGGTACAGAGTCCTGATGACTCCTAACTTGTGCTCCAAAGGATGATGGGAGTCAAACTGCAAATATTGGTTTGTGTGGGTGGGTTTGCGGTACACATTAGTTTGCAAATGTCCTCTATCAGAAACTGAGACCTAACAGTCCAAGAAAGCCAGCCTGCTGTTTTTTACATCTTCTCGTATGAACTTGATATATTTATCCACAGAGATGATGTGACCAGTTGGCCTTCCTGAGTTTTTATTTTAACCCAGGTGTCAGCAACATACCTGAACCAATGACTTGGTGGTGTCCCTGAAAAGGACGTCAAGGCTCCCTTTTCTATCTCCTCCATGTACAGTACAGGTTGGCCACAATAGGAGAAACTGGAGACCCCATGTCACACCCATGTTTCTCCCTATAATATTGGTCCCCATATGTGAAGTAAGTTGACTGCAGGCACAATTTCAAGAGTTGACACAGTTGTTCTGTAGAAATTGTGGTCCTGCTGCTCAAAGTGGTGTCTGATTTTAATCTTAAACTGACCACCTCTACTACATCATCAACAGGAATGCACATAAAGAGTGATGTGACATCAAAAGAGACCATTGTTTCATCCCTCACCTTATCCACAAAGTCCATGGTGTTCTGTATGTGGTGTTCTGAGCTGCCAACTAAAGGGATTAGTACAGACGCCAGATATTTGGAAACATTGTAAGTGACATAGTTAATCATGCTGACAATTGGTCTTAAACTGGTCACTACCAGGTGGTGACCAGTTGGCAGCTCAGCTCCTCTCTTCCCCCGAGTGTCAAAAGCAAATGGCCGCAAATCATATGACAGGACTACAAAGTCAATCATTGATCTACGACGTCCTGCTGCCAAGTGCACTTATGTACACCCTTATGTTTGAACATGGTGTTTGTGATGGACAAACTATGACTAGCACAGAAGTCCAACAACAAAACACTGCTCAGGTTCAGATCAGAGAGGCCTAATCATCTTAATTATGCCCCTCCAGGTTACACTGTCATTACTCACATAGGCATTGAAGTCCCCCAGAAGAATAAAGGAGTCCCCAGCTGATGCACCTTCAAACACCACCACCAAGGACTTCAAGAAGGCCAGATACTCTGAACTGCTGTTTGGCATGTATGCACAAACACCAGTCAGAGCCTGTCCCTCACACCCAAAGGTGCAGAGAAGCTAGCCTGTCATCTACCGGGGAAAACTCCAACACACAGGCACCAAGTTGGGGGGGGGGGGGGGGCTAAAAGTAGACCCACACCAGCTCGACACCTCCCACCATGGACAACTCCCGAGTGAGGTCCAGCCCCTCTCAAGGAGATTGATTCCAGAGCCCATGCTATGCATCAAGGTGAGTTCAACTATATCTGGTCAGTACCGCTCTACCTCACACACAAGCTCAGGCTCCTTCCCCACCACATTCCATGTCCCAAGAGCCAGCTTTGGTAAGCCAGGGTCAGGGCACCAAGGCCACTGCCCATGGCGTCATGCACCTGACTCACATGCCCCCTCCTTCAGGTGGTGGGCCTACAGGGAGGCAAACCCACGCTACTCGTTTGAGCCGAGTCCAACCGGGCCTCATGGGTAGAGACCTGTTCACCAGGGGCTTGCCGACAAGCCTCTCCCCCAGGCCTGGCTCCAGGGTGGGGCCCACGCCTGTGCAAGAGACACTGAGTTCCTTGTCACCTAGGACCAATCTGCCTTGGGAAACCTAACCAGGGGCAATTGCAGCATATCGCCTAGGTTCATTCAGGCACACAAACTCCTCCACCACAATAAGGTTGCAATTCAATGAGGAGACCTCACTAATAAAGCTTATTTGTTCACACAAATGCCACTCTGAATACTTCTTCTCACCCCCATAGTCGCTAAATGCTTTGAAAAACTGGTCATGGCCCACATCAAAACAACCATCAACATCAACGAGGACCCTCATCAGTATGCATACCGCGAGGACCGATCAACAGAGGATGCCATCTCCTCTGTGGTCAACACTACGCTCAACCACCTGAAGCAGAAAGACTGTTACATCCATATGCTTTTTGTGGACTTCACATCTGCCTTCAACACCATGATCCCCCAAACCCTGATGAACAAACTATTCACACTAGGACTAAGCCCCTCCATTTGCAACTGGGTACTGGACTTCTTAACAAACAGACCACAGTCAGTGAGGATCCACAACTTCTCCTCATCCACCATAACACTGGTTCTCCTCAGGAGTGTGTGTTAAGCCCTCTCCCGTTTACTCTGCTCACGTATGATTGTGCAACTACCCATCCAGGCTGTCACATTGTGATGTATCCCACCACCACTGAATCATCTGCAAACTTTACAAAAAATGATGAGTCCAGCTACAGGCAGGAGGTAGAACACCTGGAGAGCTGGTGCAAAGATATCAAGTAATTTAAACAAGTGAATAATAAGAAAAGTATCCAGCAAGTGTGTGTGCATTTTTGTTTCAGGTTACCTGGCTTGTAGGAACCAATTTTACAAAAAATTGCATTGTAGGGACCAAATGCTCTTTATGGGGACCAAAGCCAGGTTCCCATAAGGATAAGGTCGTTTTCACACCAGATAGTCCGGTAGACTCGGTTCGGTTTGGGACCAATATTCATGACCTTTTGTTTACATTTGAGCTGGTGCATTTGCATTCACACTGCACTGTGCAGTCGAGTCAACCTGTTGAACCTACCTATTCCCCCACTCGCCTGTGGGGGCACTGCACCAAAAACTACTGAAAGAAACGACACAAAACCTCTGAAGACACATCTTCTTCTTCTGTAAATAAAAATAAAAACGAAGTGGCATCAAGTTTTAGCAGTTTTAGGAGTTAAATTTGGTCATTTTTTTTAAAAATGGACAGCATGAGCAGAAGATGAGACAGAAGATCATAAGGAATATTGTTTTTCCACACAAGGCAGCTGACGGCTCCATATAAGGTCAGAGAAATGCATGTTTGTTTACCCTGCAGAGTGGGGCTCGGTCTGTTTACATTCAAACTGTACTGAACCGCGCTGGAGTTCTCTTCTACCGGACCAAGACCTAGGTTTTAGCCCGGGCCAGAGTTCGCCTTTTTGTTCCGTGACAGAGTTCGATGGTGCGTTCACACCTCCCTAAACGAACCGGACTTTCTAGGAAAACGAGCTAGATTTCGATTAAAGCGGACTAAACAGGGCTGATGTGAATGCACCCTACAATCATTTTCACACCAGATAGTCCGGTAGACTCGGTTCGGTTCGGGACCAATATTCATGACCTTTTGTTTACATTTGAGCTTGTGCGTTTGCATTCACACTGGACTGTGCAGTCGAGTCAACCTGTTGAACCAACCTATTCCCCCACTCGCCTGTGGGGGCGCTGCACCAAGAACTACTGAAAGAAACCACACAAAACCCTCTGAAGACACTTCTTCTTCTGGAAATAAAAACAAAAACAAAGTGGTGAAGGTGCTATTTCAAAGTGAAGAAGGTGCTATTTAAGAGACTGAGCTGAAAACAGCACCTCAGACTGAGGAAGTCTCTTGGATGAGAGACGAAACGTTTTCTAGAATTTTTTTTGCTTTGTTTTGCTTTTGTTTTTTTGAATGTCCAGAGGACCAGATTGAACTTTTTTGGATTTTTCTACCTGGATTTTTGAGCATGCATCAAGATAAAAACAAAGTGGCATCAAGTTTTAGCAGTTTTAGGAGTTATATTTTGTCATTTTTCAAAAATGGACATAGCATGAGCAGAAGATGAGACAGAAGACCATGGAGAATATTGTTTTTCCACAAGGCAGCTGACGGCTCCATATAAGGTCAGAGCAATGCGTGTTTGTCCTGCGGAGCGGGTCCGGTCTGTTTACATTCACACTGTACTGAACCGCGCTGGAGTTCTCTTCTACCGACCGAGACCTAGGTTTTAGCCTGGGCCAGAGTTCGCCTTTTTGTTCCGTGACAGAGTTCGATGGCGCGTTCACACCTCCCTAAACGAACCAGACTTTCTAGGAAAACGAGCTAGAGTTCTATTAAAGCGGACTAAACAGGGCTAGTGTGAATGCACCCTTAGTCTTGTTGGGGGATTAGGGGTTAGGTTTAGGACTAAGGTGTGAATTGCAGATGGGTTAGGGTTAGGAGTGTACAGTACTAGTAATGGTTAGGTTTAGTTTAAGAGTCAGGATTAGGGTATAGAAAATGAATGGAAGTCAAAGCAAAGTCCCCAAAAACTATGTTTACAAGAACGTGTGTGTGTGTGTGTTTGTGTGCGCGTGTTAAACCAAAAGTGTTACTAAGCAATGTGCGCATTGTGTCTTGTTGCTTGTCTCAGCCGTTTTACTTAAAAAGATGTTGTGATGCAGGTTGCTGTTTTCTGGACTCGAGAAAGAAAATGTGAGGAAAGTGGTTTTGGAGCTGTCTCTGAAATACAACTTTGTGACCCCACTCACATCCATGGTGGTCACCAAGCCTGAAGGGGAGAACACACAAGTCCTTCACAAACCAAAGGAGGGGGAAGCTGAAGGATCCCGAGCTCGTGCATCTTCTGGTCAACACTTATTGAGTGGTTCATCACAAAAGCATGGAGGTGTCCATCAACAAGCAAATAGTAAGATGTGTCTCCACGAAAGTGTCCATGTGTATTGATAAAAAACAACAATTTATGATATATAAAGCGAGTGTCAATTGTTTTGACAAAAAAAAAAAGCCTAATCATTCTTACCTTGTTTTTTTATTAATGCATATTAGGACATGGAGGTATGTACAGGTAGTAGTGACTACATGTTTTACCATGAAACATGACCGACTCTGAACTTTAGCAACTCACTGTATTTGGCAGCAGTCAAAAACTCACTTTTCATGAAAACACATTTTTTTCATGTATAAAAATATTTTCTTGGATAAAAATGAACAACAATGTTGGAGAGTTTTCTCATTTACAGAGTTCTTAGTGTATTGAACATTTCAGTAACTACAAAACAAAATTAAAAAAGTTTGAACCATTAACTAAACCACAAAATGTAGTTTACATCATGTGCACAATTTTTACAGAAATATTTTGTAAATTTTTTTCCAAACTTAGAAACCGAATTTAGATGTGTTAACCATAAGCTGAATTGATCAATAAGAAAACATTCAGAACATTCAGGTGTTTCATCCTGAAGGCATGTTATAGCATGCAAACAAATATATTACTCTATCTAAAGTTTTGTAGATTTACAACAGTACTTTCATTTTATGCCTTTCTTTTACTAGTATTAATTAGGCATAATTTTGGTCCTCCAGGTGACCCTGATCTTACTTATCGTCTTACTCGTCCAAGTCTTCATAATCATCCTGGTCCTCATATTGGTAAAGACCATCCTGGTCCTCCTGGCGATGGTTGGTATGGGAGTGATTTTTCCCTTCATAGTCCTGTTCTTGAAGGTAAAATTAACACTGTTAAGAGCAACACCTCACAAAATATAAATTAATGTTTGTAAATTAATTAACAATGTCTTATGTGAAAACTAGTACTCATGTAATTGTTACAACAAATCAAAACATAGCAGTTATCTGTACAAATACTGTAGACTGGTGCGAAATGACAATTTGAAGTTTTTGAACATTTTTTAATTACTCACATTTGAAGAGAGAGCAAAAGTTTTTTGGAGAATAATATTTTCCCTTTATCTTATTTACTCAAAAGGAGCCACACTCAATGGCAGGAGAAGATTTTTAACCAGTATTTTACTTGAAAGGACATATTTGCAGTACAGTTATATATATACACAGGAAGTACACGTATGAAGCCCAATCAGAATTTGTCATGCATATTGTGTTTTTGTTCTTTTTTTGTCTAAAATTTAGTTTTAAAATGTTACAGTTTGTGTTAAAGATAGTCATCTGCATCATCTAGATATAAACTTGAGTACAGTCAACAACTTTTCTTGTACAGTTTGGGTTGCTATTGTGTGTTCATTCATTGAAAATATTTAGCAGACATTCAAAACATAATTTTCCTCTGGTAATACATTTTTTAGACAGTCTAGGTCCTGTGAGGTTGAATCTTGGTTGGAGCAGAATATCTGAACACATTTAAAATATCCTTGCTTGCAGATTCTGTGCCTTCCCACGGCAATGCTTATTTTGACAGTTTTGACGATGATTCTGTTCCTGTGATGGCAACATCTGGTAAAGTGTTTCAAATATCATACTTTGATTCTTTACTGAAATGTTACACTAGTTTAGAAAAGTTATGTTTTTTTAAATAAAAGCAACAAAATATAAAGTCTAAAAACTTTTTTTTTTTGGGGGGGGGGATTTGTTTTATGCTTTGCTGTTGTCCTTTCCTTAAATTTATTTATTTTCTGATTTTAGCTCTTGAATTCTAAAACAATATTATATATACATTTTTGCTTTTTTGGTGGAATTTGACACTGGTTTCAGTTTTGCTGTCAAGATTTGCTTGTGAGGAACATATAACTCCAGCAAAACATGACAAATGTAAATTGACTAGTCATTAAATTTGCTTGACTGTGACTTCAGTTAAACTGTTGTTGGAAGTAAAAGCTCTTTATTTTCATGACATGTGTGATCTAACATGGTGTCACTCTTTCGTTCTAGCTCCTGTTTCCCACAGACTTTTACTGAAAGCGGAGAATCAGTCTCAGCCGTTGTGCTTTGACGTCACAGGAGCTGCCATTCTGAAACTTTTTCACCATCCCAGCAGGGGTCAGTGCGAATTCTTTGTGCACCATTGAACAAAGTCGTCTCATTTATCTGCTTGCTGTGTTTATGTCCTGATTCATGGTGTGATTTTTATTTGATCTGTTTTGCATCAGAGGTTTATATGAACGGTGAACTGGATTCAGTAACAAATGGAGGCTTTAAAATGATTGTCGTCCATGTTGGATGTGACCAACATGTTGAGGTTGACACGGAGGGAGTCACTCTTCGAGATGGACAGTCTACAACACGCCACACAGGACTGGATCCCATCACAGCTGGAAGGTGAGGTTGAACAGAAACAACGGTCAGAACTGTTTTAGAGTGCAGCGTTTATTAAGAAGCCCCCCCATTCATTCATCCTTTATTTATACAGATTAATCTCAAGCATTCATTTACAAGAGAGACTTGGTTTTACAAAGAATGATAACAGTAGACAATCATAAAAAAGCATACAATGAAAAATAAAACGGAAGCAAATGATATTAAAAAACGTAACAAAAACAGCTACATTATAAAGCCATGCAAAATACTAAAAACAAGAACATGACAGTGTTGATTTTTGCCATGAACACAGCAGTTGTTTGAAGCCATTTAGAGGTCAAGGTCGAGTTTCAGATTTTTTTTGCAAGTTGTTCCAGGAAACAGGAGTGGAGTAGGAGAAAGCCCTTTTGCCATGTTCAGTTCACAATGAGGAAACACTGCAGGTAATAATGTCCTGAGAGCGCACGCTGTGGCTGCACTCACAAAGTGACAGAATGAGATGTATAAAGGCAACAGACCAAGAAGTGATTTAAAGATGAAAATATACCAGTGAGAGAGTCTGCGTGAAGTTAATGATCAGTTAACCAGTGAATACAGGGTGCAGTGATGGGTACGGTAGTTAGAGCCAGTTATGAATCTTAGTGCACCGTGATGGACCGCGTCCAACATATCAGAGTTACAGCACTTATAGGCATAGTTACATGTTTTTAAAGAAGAGTAACATCCACCATTTTCTTTTTAGCTTATTTTTCTTTCTGGGTTGTTGGGGAGCTGGAGTTTATTTCCAGCAGTCATTGTGTAAGAGGCGGGGTACACACTGGACATGTTCATCACAGGGACATGTAGGGACCAATGGGACAAACAAGTATTCACTGTCTAACTCACACCTAGGCAGTGGTGGAGAAAGTACTCAAACACTGTACTTAAGTAAAAGTACAAATAAACAGACAAAATTGTACTCTAGTAAAAGTAGAAGTACCACATTAACATTTTTACTTAAGTAAAAGTAAATAAATACTTGCTTATAAAATACTTAAAGTATTAAAAGTAAAAGTACTTGCTGAATGTATTGCATAATGCAATGGTCTACATATCTTTAAGTCTGCATACCATATGTATATTTTCTGTAACACATTAATAGTGTTGAGTCATTTTAATGAACAATGCTGCAGATAATACATGTTTTTATTGTGTTTACTCTGTGACACAGTTCACACTTGGACTTGTGATTCTGTGTGTCAGTATTTCAGGGATGGCATGCAGAGTTAAATGCCATTAAGCAAAATAAAAAAAGATGATTTTACCTTTGAATGTTTTTATTTTAACACAAAACAAAACCATTGTGTCATTTTAACTGCAGTAAACACATTTAAGTAAAAGTTGTCTGCCTGAAGAAAAGGAGCATTAGACACAACTAAAAGGAATAGGCTCTGATCATTTCCACTGACATTTCAACTCCAGTTTGTCATGAACTCTAGTTAAAATACTGTCTATTCAACCTTGTAATGGGTCAATATTGAACAACATTTTTAACTTTCTGACACCATTTTTAAAACTTGGACCCGAGTGTCCAGCCATTTGGAGACATCTTTATTTATATTATCCTGACTGAAAAAAGCTAAATAATTTAAAAATAATAAAAGACGCATAATAAAAAATGCGCAGAGAGGTAAAGCCGGCGAAGCCACACACAGGCGCCATCTTGCCACACCCCCTCATCTCTTGTCTCCTAACATCATGAACTGACACATTTCAATATTGCAGCAAGAATTTCTTGTTCAAGTTCAGAAGAAGTTGGTTTTCAAAGATTTTTTAATTCGGTCTGGCTCTTTTGGGAGAGAGAAGCTATCCTGTTGTACTGAGCAGTCTTTCAATAAGGCCATGGGTGGCGCATATCTTCTGGCTGACTCTCTTACGGTGGAATACTTTTGGGTGTGTTAGCGGTGCTGTGGGTGCACCCAGCTCAGTGACATATATACTTGAATATATGTAATTGGCCCAGCTCTTCTCGAAGGCGGGCCTAATGTTACCTGCCCACTTTGCAGTGATTCAATGGACCAGCTCTCCTCTCACCATTGATTATTTTCAAACAAACAAACAAATCAAAAAGCCGCAACATGAATGTAACTTGTAATGAAACGCATTATGGAAATGTAGTGTAGTAGAAAATACAGATACTTGATGTAAAATGTAGTGGAGTAAAAGTATAAAGTACCCAAAATTTAACTCTACTTAAGTAAAGTACAGATACATGAAGAATGTACTTAAGTACAGTAACAAAGTATTTGTACTTAGTTACATTCCACCACTGCACCTAGGGACAGGTTTATATGTACAAATCAAGCATGCATGTATTTGGTTTATAGGAGCAAAACCTCACGTGCACAAGGAGAACTTACAACCTACAAACAAAAAAGCCAGGAGGCAAACCTGCGACCTTCTTGCTGTGAAGCAACAGCTCTAGCCACTGCCCTGCCACATTAACTACAAGTCATATCAATTACAAACTGAACATTTTATAATGAGCTTATAGTGACAGTCAGATCAACAAATGCATGCTATGTAACAATGAAGATAATGGTGCTTTAATGTGTAGATTGGTTGGGTAGCACTATCTGTAAACTGTGTGTAATGTGACTGGGCCAAACACAGTGATTTAGCAGAAAGCAAATACAGGTCCATGTATGGTGGAGTAAATAATTAAACAAAGATTATTTAAATCAGATTTGTTTCTGTGCGTAATAAACATCTGATTATAAGATCATCATATCAATTTTTATTGGAGGTTGGCAAACACAGTAAAAACAAAAACATTGTTCACATGCTTTTTACTCAGTATTTAAACAAGCTGCACAAAAGTAGATTAGCACTGTTGTCTGTTGGCATAATGATTCTGGACTGAGATGCCTGGCAGGGACATTTCTCTGAGAGGCTCTCATTTTCTAAACTGTCATCTGAGGTTGTACCTCAGGTACCTGAGGTCAGACCTTTGTGAATATTTTTGTAACCTTACTATAAGTAAATCTCAACTATAAAGCTTGCCAATACATTTTACTTATGCCAAAAATAAAATAAATAAAATAAAAATCTAGCTAAGCATATTCCTAGTTTTAAATATTTTTTTACTTTCTCGTACCTGCTTTGATGCAACAAAAATTAGTTTATGTCCATAAAGTCAAACCTCATACTGCCCATATCTGCTCCTCCACAACCTGAGCATGGATAAAATTAACCAAGATTAGAAAAATTAGTTGTGATTGTATAACATTTTGTGCAGACTAATACATCAGTTAATTCTTGGTTGTGTAAATGTTTCCAGTGTGACGGTGATCAAGAGAGACAAAGAAATAGACGTTGCTGCTGAAGACGTGCGGGTGATCATTTTAGTCCATGAGAAGAACGGTGAGAAATTCCTTTGGCCAGTTTTAAGACAGAGACCATCTGCAAGCAACACTGAAGGAGTTTTAGGTGAGTAATAAATGTGTTCATGTTTACCATCTGTGCATAACTTGAAATTGTCTGCATTTCTTTATATGACAGAAAATAAAAGCTTGTGTGTCTTTACCACATTAAGTCCAGTATGTATTCTAAATGTCTTTAGTTCTCTTATGTAAACTGGTGTTGCTCTAAAAAAAAACTTTGATATGAAACAAATCACAACATTCTAATTTTTTTACTGATATTTTCAGAAGATTTCTTCTTCTGTTCTGCTCTAGTAAAACAAATAATATTTCACAAAAACTGACTGGATTGTGTGTGTGTGTGTGTGTGTGTGTGGGGGGGGGGGGAGGGGGGTAGTTATACAATTTAAATATAGTGCTAAAGTTGTAACTTTTTGATCTATAATATAATTTTTTATGTACCAAGTGTTTGCTTTCATATCTTGAGTTGTTCAATTTTGTTGTGCAGCTTTAAAGACTGAATATGAGGTGAAACGGGGACGTCGCAAAGCAACACTGCAGATCGGAAACCATGTGATTAAAGCTAGCAGGTACACTTGGTACAAGCAAACAGGCATTTGAATTTCTTAACAAGAAAACAACGTTTTACTTCTTTAACTTTTCCTTGTAGCTCCTTTGCTGATGACTACAGTATTTCCCCTACTATGGCATCCCCCTGTTGGCTCGTTTCACCTGATCAAGCTCTGCAGAGACCCCTGCAAGATTTCTGCACTGCACAAATTTAACAAAGGACCTTGGCTGAAATATTTGAAAAGGAGAAAAGCAATATCTACTAGGTGTTTCCAAGATACCGAAAGAATACAGTTACAAGTCTAACATTTTATGAAAGAAATTTGCAATCATGCACTGTGATTAATCTGCTAAACCTATCCAATAAAAATAACGAAGAATACATCTATAAGATGCATGTTTGTTTTCTACTTTAAACACCATGTTACATCAAATTTTACCCATAAAATGATTTTAACATACAGAGCAAACAATACTTTTGTATTTTTGTATTGAACGCTTTTTGAAAGCAAACAATACTAGAAATTCCAACAAAGTTCATTCAGGTCCTCTGGACAGCTTCTTTTTTTTGGTGAGATGTTTCATCTTTCATCCAAAGGACTTCATCAGTCCAAGGAGCCACAACAAACCGAGTCCCACAAGCAGCACACTCACATTGTGTATCAACCAGTTTGCTGGTGAGAAGATGGTTTCTAAGGCCCACCCTCTCCCCCGTCAACTCCTGAGGCAGCCATAGCCAAAGTGGTTCATGCTCAATAATCCAGGTAGAAAATCAAACAATGTTTAGTCACGTCATCTGGACGGTTTCTTTTTTTTGTTGAGCAGTTTCGTCCTTCATCCAAAGGACTTGATCAGTACAATACTAGAAATTGATCTAAATATCTTTGTTGCTCAAGGAAAGCCTAAATTAGTCAAAGGGTAATTTCTTGAAGGAATGCATGTCACCTGCTACACCTGATGCTAGAGTTGTTGTTTTTGGAGTTGTGCAGTTATATCCTTTTTAGTTCAACTTGAACATACCATCATGAATATGATTTTGATAACTTGTTTAATGTTGAATTACCTCATAACTGTGTTGTGAAAGACTAAACTATGACCGCAAGTAGCTCAATACCTGCATGTTTCTTTACCAATCTTTGTATATGTCTGAGTCATCAACTAACCTATTGGAATTAGAGGACTTTATAAAAGGATGTTAAACTTCCCTCAGTGGGTTTTGATCTGACCAAAGATTTGGAGGAAGATTTCTCTCTAGCTGAGATAAATTCTGCAATCAACGATATGCAAAATGCGAAGTCCGTAAGGCCAGTTGGCTTTCCAACAGAATTTTTTTGAGAAATATATTTGGATTTGCTCTCGCCTTTATTAATATCTGTGTTTGAAGAGTCATATGCTACACAATTATTACAATTGTCTATGCGTCAAGTTATCAAAGTCAAAGTCAACTTTTTTGTCAAAACTGCAATATGTACAGGACATACACATGACTGAAATTTCATTGCTCTCAGACTCCTGGTGCAACAATAACCATTAAAAATTGAATAAACATTAGCATAAAATGAAATAACAAAAAGTATGATACTATCCATCCATCCATCCATTTTCTTTACCCGTTTATTCCATTTTGGGTCACGGGGGTCGCTGGTGCCCATGTCCAGCAATCACTGTGCGAGGGGCGGGGTACACCCTGGACGGGTCGCAAGTCCATCACAGGGCCACATAGAGACAAACGAGACAAACAACCATTCACTCTCTCACTCACACCTAGGGACAATTTAGAGTTACCAATCAGCCTAACATGCATGTTTTTGGACTGTGGGAGGAAACCGGAGTACCCGAAGAAAACCCACGCATGCACGGAGAGAACATGCAAACTCCACCCAGAAAGGCCCCTGGACCGGGATGATACTATCCTAAATTTTAAATTATAACAGTATAAATATAAAAGTATATCTATAAGTATAAGCGGAGCTGTCCACTGACCACTAGCTGGTAGTGAGTTGGCTCCGATGGTGGGGGAGGATGCCGATCAGACCTGGCAGACCCAAAAAGTATTGTGAGGGTCTGCTGGGAACGTCTGGCAGAGTCTCCCGTGAGATGGAGCTTTAACTCCCACCTTCGGGAGAGTTTTGAATACGTTCCGGGGGAGGCGGGGGGCATTGAGTCCAAGTAGGCCATGTTTCACGCCTCTATTGTCAAGGCAGCTTATCGGAGCTGTGGCCACAAGATTGTCGGTGCCTGTCGCAGTGGTAACCCTCGAACCCAGTGGTGGACATTGGCGGTGAGGGATGCTGTCAGGATGAAGAAGGAGTCCGACCTGGCCTTTTTGGCCTGTGGGACCCTGGAAGTAGCTGTTGGGTACCAGCAGTCCAAGCAGCATGCAGCTTGGGTGGTCGCTGAGGCCAAAACTCAGGCATGGTAGGAGTTCAGAGAGGCCATGGAGAATGACTTCCGTATGGCTTTGAGGCGATTCTGGTCCACCATCCGGTGTCTCGGGGGGGAAA